GGGACACCTGTAATACTTTCAACAATAAAGATAAATTTTAAAAATAAAAATAAATAAATAAATAAATAAAACCTCTACACAGACTGAATAGTGATGGTTGCTCTATTTGGCATCCAGGTTAAGCGTAAAGAAAAGAGCAAATAGCCCGGCCGGGTGTGGCTCAGCCGTTAAGCGTCGACCTAGGATCCAGGCGATCAGGGTTTGGTTCCTGGTCAGGGCACATGCCTGGTTGTGGTCTTGATCAATCACTCTCTCCTCATTGATGTTTCCCTCTCTCTCCCTCTCCTTTCCTCTCTGAAATCAATAAAAATATATTTAAAACAAACAAAAAAAAAAGAGCAAATAATTGGGGTCCTGACTAGACTGCTTTTACTATAAACGCTAAACACTTCTGTAAGTGAAGGATTTCATACTTCACAGCAGTTATTTGGCATTCAGTGTTTAATTTTCATAAATACATAAAGGCTTCAAAAGTTTTATAACAATGACGTAAGTCATTCAAACTGACATACACTGGTTATAACCAAGAAGCTAATTTTTTTCCAAGCTAAGAAATTCTTATTCAGATTAGGTGGTAAACCAGATCGGAGACTCCAGGGTATCTTTCAACAAGAAAAATGACAAGTGGCCATATAGCGCAAGGCTGTAAGACAGTCTTGATTTCAAAGCTGTTCCTCACACAAGTACCACTCGGATGATGGATCCTTGTTGATGGGTGAGCAAACACCATCACCTGAGACAGAACTGGCAGTGGTTAACAGCACACGAGACTGATTAAGTCCAGCCTAATTGGCAGTAACATGGTAAGTACCTTCAACGAATGCCACTTCCTATATTCAGTCAGAAGATGAGGTTTCCATTCACTTCCTCCCAGTCATCTGTGGGACAGTTAAGGGAGAGCACTGGAACAATCTAGACAGGAAAACTATAGTTCTCAACTTGCTCATAATCACACCTTCGTAAAGCCCCATGGGCCTGGACCCTGCTTTCTACATCTCAGATTCCTCTGTAACATGCAAATTTAACATTTTCATTTACTAAATAAGTAAAAAGATAAATACATTTGGAAAGTTCAGCTTGCTATAGAAATACACTGAACTGGGATTTAAGACCGCCTCTTCCTTGCCTTAGCTCCAGCATGAATGCAGCATGGCGACAAACAAGTCCATTTCCTCATACATGAAATGAGATGATTCATCATCTTGTCCAATCGCATAAATCCAAAGTATTTCTTCCCTTGTAAAATGCCATAGACTTGAAATGTTACAGAGATCATTGCCAGAGGAAAGGGAAGGTTGTGCTCCAGATCGCTGTTTAGAGCTTAGAAGACACACTTTAATAAATTGTGGTTGGTTTCTTAGTTCCTTTTTTAAAAAAAAATCTACATTAAAATATAGTTAAGTACTATTTATCTAAAAATAGTGCAAATGTTACACACGCACACGTGTGTGTATGTGTATAAAACCAGAATTACCCAAAGATGCACCCCCATCCACTCATT